ACCCAATTTTTCTAAAAGTATAGAGACGAAAAATATTAAAAAACTGCAAATACTAAAAACAAAATTTAATGAAATTATAAGGGCCAAAGATTGTGTTTTCCATTACATCATCTAAATTTTATTCAATAAAATTGTACTATTTTAATCAAATAAAATCTTATGTATCATTATTTTTAGGAAAAATAGTGATGAAGGATTATTGGAGAAAATTTACATCAGTCAAAGATTAGTTATTATCAAAATTTGAATGAAAAAAGCCCGAAGAGATGTTGTTAATTTAGAATAAGTTGTTATTAAAATCTGAATAAATACTTATTGATAAAAGACTAACCCGAATCGACAACTATCCATTCAAATTTTGACAATAAATAATCTTTGACTGATATAAATTTTCTTTAGTATCCTTGATTGATATTTTCCCTTATTTTTAGTGATTTTGTTTTTAGAACAAGGAAAACATAAATTTTAATTCCTGTACTTTGCTCGTATTTTGCTATAAATTCCTGTACTTTTTTTTCGGTATTTTGAGTCTCTATACTTTCATTTTGGCGATTTACTTTTATTTAATATCCCTACACTTTGATCATTTTAGTTATTTAAGGACCTAAAACATTGAAAAATAAAAATCTAGGAACCTAAAATACTGAAAAAAAAAATGTAGAGACCTATACTTTCATTTTCAGTGATTTATTTTTCTTATTTAGATGAGTTGGGTTTGAAAAACTTGTCTAGGATACTTATAAATTATGTATCAAATCATTACCAAGCTCTCATTTTTATTTGTAAGGCTTGAATTTGAAATTTTGCTTAAGAGCTATTGAATCCTTTGCTATTTAATGACTGAACAAGGTCTTCAAATGGTCAAGAAAGAATTGTGCATAAATTCTCCACAATATAATTAAATACCACGCTCAAAGTTTTGCTCAATGATCAAATCCTTTAGGGAGAATGACAGTTAATTAGGTTTTAATAGAAGGAATTAATAATAGTTAGGTTTTTAATAAAAAAATTTTAAAAATAAGTTGTAAATATAGATTCTCAAATACTTATAAATTTAAGAGTTTCAATTGCAAATAAGATATTTAAATTATAAATATCACTCTTAATTTGCAATTATATTTCCTTCTACAATTATTTTGATTAATATTTATAACTTATTTTTTAAAAAATCTTGTTAGAAACATAACTGTCATTAATTCTTGAAAAAATTACATTCAAATCTCACAAAAAGAAATTTATTACTTATAAATCTTATAAATTTTACAAAATACTCCAAAGTCTTAAATCCTATACATTAACAATTAGACAATATTCATTTACAACTTGTAAAAAAAAACAAATTTATAAATAAGTTGTAAATGACTATTATTCAATTGTCAATATTTTTAGTTAAGTTGTCAAAGCGTAGGATTTAGGATTTAAAAGTATTTTGTGAAATTTATATCTGAACGTAATTTTTTCTTAATTCTTTCTTTTAAGCTGTCATCCTCTCGATCCTTCACTGCTGTTCAAGCCAACCAGGTCAAGGTTTGCTTCTTCTGTTTTATTTGGGTTGTTTTAGACGTGTTTTTTAAGAAACTAAAAACTACAATTTTTAACTTCCTAAAAAACCCACTGACCGATCGATCCACCAGTCACCAGCGTGGGCTCCCATACCCACATGCTTATCTTGTCTGCAAACAATTCAATGTGTCTGAATCAGATTATTATAGAGACACATGGATATAATGTCCACGCGCTTTCTATTTAAAGGATATCCCGTTCTTAAATACTGGATCCGAAATTGCAAACCCATACAAAATATTCTCCGTTTTTATTTTTGTAGTTTTAGATTTAAAATTTCAACTCTTTTCTGTCAGCGCTTTTGGAGGATATTAATTACTAACTTGGAAGTGCCAGATTGCGATTCTTCTTGCTTGCTTGTTCCTTTAGAAAACAAATCGGTTGCTATCTGGAAATGTCATTTATACTTTTGTTTTTTTTGCCAAAAGAAGAAAATTTCCTTTATACTTGACACGCTACTTTGGTATGTGGAAATTAAATCCGTTGCTATACTATCAATTTTATCTGTCTAACTAATTAATTGATCCAAATACTTGTATTTTAATGTGTTAATAATATTAATAATAAGAATTTATTATAATAAAATTATATATATATATATATATATAAATATAATTGTGTTAATCCCTCAGAAATCTGGATGTAATGCTGGCACATCGACAAATGATCTATAATTTATATAATATCAAGGGAAAATGTGGAAAAATAATCACAAGAAAATTAGATACTGCAAATGTGATAATTATTTTTCTTGGTGACTAGTCAGTCATTTAGTTTTAATGTGATAAGACTTTTCATCCTTTCTGAATTTTTTTCCTCCAAAAGATGGCCATTAGAACTTATGCTTTGTCATTAGTTATTTTTTCAATAAAATTAATCATTTCTCAAAAGAAAATAATAATTAATTTTTTAATTGTTGGACTTCACCAATAAAAAAATTTACACATAACAACTTGTAATTTGTCATTTCATTCTAATCATTTCCCAAAAAAAAAAACTAATTATTTACTTATTTTCCAAAAATAAGTAAAAAACTGATTTTTTTTCTAAGTTAGTTATTGGACTTCATTGATAAATTTAAGACATGAGCATATATGGCATTTTGCATAATAATAATAATAATAATGTAAGACAAGCTCCCACAAGGACTGGAAAATAATTATATCCATTTCACAGTACTCAATTGTTATTTACATATTTTGAAATTTTTTTATGTCATTTTCCCTAATATCAAATTCCTAATTTAACTCAGCAGAGTGGCATGCGTATCTATATATAATATGTAGAATACCATATATATGGGATGAAATGTGGACATGTGTATTATATAATACTTCCTTCATCTCAAATTATAAAATCTTTTTAGATAAAATTTCACATACCAATAACTCTTATTAAATACATTTAACAATCTTATCATTTCAAAATAAAAATATAAACATTTAAAAATTTATATCATTTAATATATTAAAAAAAGAAAGGATGGAAATTAATTATAGAGAGAGAAAGGATAATATTAAAATTAGTATATTTAATAATAAAATTTTAATCTATTTAAAGTGTTTTATATTTTAAGATAGAAAAATTTCTTTAAAAATGTCCTATGATTTAGAACAAAAGGAGTAACTAATAAGTTCCCACTTTTGGTTGGTTAACTCAAATGTGTGGGATGTGAATGTGATCACTGTTGATGCCAAGACGTGTTTCCTCTTCCTTAAGAAAACAAACCATACCAGATCTTGTTTTAAATAATTTCTATAAATTGTTGAAAAGAACAACCACAGAAAAGTTCCAATCGATTTTATTGTTAAATAACACTTGTGTGACCTGGAATTGATTGTTTTGGAATCCTATTTAAATTTATTTTAATGAATTATACATGTGCACGTATGATGTCATATTTAAATATTAATTGATCTTAATATCTTGCCGCCTCAAATAGCATTTACTTGTACAACTAATTAATTACAATTTGTTCATTAGATTCCTGGCTAAAAAAAACAAAAAAAAAAAGGTGTTGCTTTTCGTCAAATCCAAATTAAAGAATGAAGTACTCCGATCCCTTTGTGATTTTGATTATCAAATTTTGTTATGTAGTGGCATATTTAAAATTATACACACTTTTACTCCTTTTTTTTTCCATTGATATTAATGGAGTCAATAAAAATAACTTGTAAAGAGAATCATAAGAGTACATATATAACATCGTTAGTTCAATTACTATTTAACTAAATAAAGCCTTTCAACTTTTCTGGCAAAAAAAAAACAAATATAATCTATAAACTTTTATATGTAATTTTACTTAATTATTATTTTATTTTTTATTATCATCAATACTAATATTAATATAAAATATAAAATCTATTTTCTATAATAATACATACTATTCGAAAGTTGAAAACAACAAATACATTTTTCAGATTTCATATAATATAATGTGTGAAAACCTATCTAATTTTAAGTTTAAATTAAATAGGGTATGAAAACAAATTTTCAATGGAAAGGAATAACTCACACATTAATAATTAAGGATGCGATTATATATTTTTAGTTATTTTTAATATATTTTAAAAAATATAGAAAAAGATAATAATACTTTTAATTAATAAAAATTAATAACTTTATAGGTGCATGTAAAGGATTCAGCCCCTTCAACCAAGGTTAAGAATTAAACTCTTCCAAATAAAAAAAAATCACAAGGGACAAGGTTCAAATACAATTTATTTCTAAGGACCAAGCTCAGGTATTTAACACTCAAACTGTAAAAATTTATAAGGTTAAAAGTCATTTTTGACTTTCAACTTTACCCTAAAGGGTCAATAGATATTATAAATTCAACTATAAGTTAATTTGATCTCTCAATATTAAAGATTATCTTATTACCTTGGTGTTAACTTGTCGTTTTTTATTGTTAGTGAACCTCATATTGTACTTTTTAATTTTTTTATTATAAAATTTTGGGTTAAGAGTCATTTTTACATTTCAACTTTATTTTGAACTATCAGTAAATACCTTTAACTCAAATATTTTATAATAAAAAATATTAAAAATGTAACATAGTGCGCACTAATGATAAATAGACGGCAAGTTAATGGCAAAATAATGAGGGAAAAAATCTTTAATGCTAAAAAATATAATTGATTCATATTTAAATTTAGAGAGTTCTGGGTAAAGTTAAAAGTTAAAAATGACTCTTAAATCATATTTTTGTAAATATTGACTCAAGCATTCAAGACTTGATGAGATCTTTGGAAATAAATAGTTTCTAGATTTGATCCCTGTAATAAAAAATTCATTTTAAAATAAAAAATAAAAAGGGGGGTTGCGTTTACGTGTGCAATGAAAGCATGTGGTTGTGCTTGCGTGATGTGTTCCCCACCTTTGAAATTAAATAGAGGCAACAATGATCAAACCCCAACTTCAGATCATCGTCGCGTGTTACTGGTGTGTGTGTGTGTGTATATATATATGAACATCAAACAAAGTGTCAATCCAGTTAATACTCAATACTCTTGATCTCTCTGTCTGATCTGTTTGGCAGCTCACTGAGTCCATGGCTTCCTCGTCTTCCTTGTTAACCAGCAACAAAAATGGAGGAGTTAGCGGTGAGGATCAAAGCGTTTTGCAGAAGCACGTTTCGTTCTTTGACAGGAACAAAGACGGTGTTATTTACCCCTGGGAGACTTTCCAAGGTTCTTTGTTTCATTTCTATTAACTCATTTCCATTCTTCTTCGATTTCTTGTTGTTTCAATATATTAACAATAAATAAATTGTGCTTGTTTACTACTAATTTGCAGGGTTTCGTGCAATTGGATCTGGAGTCTTCCTCTCCATTGCAAGTGTTGCTTTCATCCACTTTAGCCTCAGTTTCAAAACCCGTCCTGTAATATTATTACCCTTTCGGCCTCCGTCCTATAAATATTTATTAGTTATTGCCAAATATAGTAATTATTAATTTAAATTAAAATACATTTGTTGGTGGTGATGGTGTAGGGAAAATTTCCTTCTCCACTGCTTCCCATTGAAGTTAACAACATCAAACTAGGCAAACATGGTAGTGACACTGGAGTCTATGATAAAGAAGGAAGGTATTTGCTCTTTCTTTTATTCTTCCCCCCACATATGTTAGATTTTTTAAATGTGAATGTATTTGAATAGATATAAAGAATCCAACTTTGAATAAAGTTTGGTTTGTTAATTAATTTAAAATAAAGAAAAAGAATCCGTAAACTCAAATTTGAAGATTTTGAATTAAGATGTAGTACCTTGCCACTATTCATATATAAATATAACTAAGTGATCTTGTATATTGTAAAAAAATTAATTTAAAAAATATGTTATTCTACTCATAACATACATAGGTGAATGGTGAATTTGGCTTGTTATAAATTTTAGGGAGAATTTAAGTTACGAACTACTATAAAGACTTGATTTCATATATGTCCAAAAAATTTTAAAATTTTAGTTCAATCCAAAAAAAAAAAGTCAAAAAAAAATTTGACAATGAAAAGATCAAAATCACTAATTATTAATTTTCTTACTTTACTTATTAATTTATCAATATTACTTGTTAATATTAGTTGTTAGACAATCAGTAATATTAGTTGTTAATTTGTTTACTTTACTTGTTAATTTACTAACATTAGTTGTAAATTACAAGAACTGTCAGTAATTTATAACTCATGTTAGTAAATTAATAAGTAAAGTTAGCAATTTAACAACTGATATTGCTGCTTATGATTGAAAAATTAATGTTAAGTCATATATAATTATCGATACATCATTTTATGTAATTTATAACTCATATTAATAAATTAATAAGTAGAGTATTAATAAATTAATAATTAAAGTGAAAAAATTAATAATTAGATTTTGCATAACAAGTTAAGGGTATTTTAATCTTTTGATCATCGAAATTCTTTTGACTTCTCTCCCCTAAATTAAATTGAAATTTCAATTTTTTTTGAACCCGCTTGAAATTAAGTTTCTTCAATGATCCTTAATTGAAATTTCCTAAATTTTACATTCCATATAGGAATGTTATTAGTTATTTAATTTGAATATATTCTCACTTTAAAAATAAGGATTTTAATAATATAATGGGGGTCTAAGATCGAGAAAGGGACACTTGTACCCTCATGTTACATCTAACTGACACCAATACCTCAAAAGATCAAAGGATAAGAAAAATTTACTGAAGAAACATTTCGATTGAAGCTCTTGAGTCATTGATTTATCATGTTGGGTCATTTTTTTTATTCACCTGGCAATATATATTATTCTTCGACATCCCAACATATTTATGTATACATTTTAGGTTTATTCCTTCAAAATTTGAAGAAATATTCAGCAAGCATGCACATACATATCCAGATGCTTTAACGGCTGATGAATTGAAGGAAATGCTGAAAGAAAATCGAGCTTCTAGAGATTACCAAGGATGGTACGAGATCATTTATATGTATATGTATATATGTACACACACAAACATATGCATATACATGCATATTCTAGACCTCACTATGCTCCTTTGGTCCATAATACATGTCCAGTTCAACTACTGAATACAAACCACAAATGGTAGTTAAATGGAAGTTACATTAGGTAAAGATGTAAAAAATTATAATAATAATGTCTAAATCTACCTTTCTCAAAAGTCAATATTGTATTTTTTTAAAAAAATATTCATTAATTACTAGCAAAATATAGAGAAAATGTTAAATGTTCTAGATATGATAATCAAACTGAATTCTGGACCAAGGAAAATTGTGAGAAAATAACTGACATTGTGGACCAAATGGGTATTTTTATCAAATATTTATTTTGGAATTTTGGGGATGATCAAATTAAATTGGAGCAAAAATTGGGTGAAATTAATGAACGCATTAATGTAGGGTGGCGAGTGAGGCAGAATGGAATATATTATACAAATTTGGGAAAGACAAGGATGGTTTGCTGGAGAAAGACACGGTTCGAGCTGTTTATGATGGAAGCCTCTTTCACCTCCTGGAAAAGCAACACAACGCTCAGAAGAAGAATTGATTCATGTATTCATCACAATTGAATCGAGCACTAATTAAATATGTCCTGTACAAGTGTCCTGATGATATATCCACATTTCATTTCCCACACAATTCGTTGTTTATCTGTATCTTTATTATTGAATTTATATATCTAAACTTGTATTTTACTCCTATATATGTATGTACGATGTTTGTTTGCAAATTAGTTATTATTTTTGTTATAATCTATGTCATTTTGATAAATTTCTTAATTATGTAGTTGTTTTGTTTGGCAATAAAACAAATAATAATTTAAATTAGGAGGGAGGGAGTATTTAATTGGCACACGAATAATATTATTTTATTTTGGAAAAAAATAGAAAAATGTGGGTCGTTCACTTTCATTTTCTCTGGTCCATGGCATAATTAATTACCTCGAACCTTCTGGCTTTGATTATGAAGCGTGAAGGGATAACATTGCTTCCCGGAATTAAAAACGCCGTTTATGTGATATGAAAGAAGAGGTAATCAATAATTGATTAGTTGCTTCACGCCAAAGATAATTGTTTGATAGGTTTACTTCTCAAATTCTACACTATTCCAATCTCTTATATCCCATATATATATATATATATAATATTTTAGACATGTTCCACGTAGATTTAAAAAGTTGTTCAAGTTTTAAAAACTATTGAAGCTATAGGGGTGAAAATGGAACAGAGCATTTAATATCGTGGCTAGACATCCTGTAATTGAACGGTTGTTTACCTTTGAAAGGCACCTTATACCAAGCCATAAGAAGGAGGAGAGTAATCAATTTTATGAGGGTCAAAAGTTGGTGGCCGGTGGCCGACCATCCATGTCAATTTTATTAGTAATTAATGTTGTCAATTATTTCATCCGCGTCTTCCATTTCAATAAGGGGAATTCATAGCCTAATCAAATGTAGTATTCCTCTCGTTCTGGCTATTTATACCAAGAGAGAAATTTAATTTTGATTCTATTTTTAATGTTACTTCGTTATTTTATATGTTTGCTTTTACCTTTCTATCCTTATTAAGTGTTAGCAAAAAATTATTAAAAATATTTTTTTTGTCTTTATTAGAGATAGTGGTAAAAACTTATTAAATTTTAACACACAGTTAATAAGATTTATTTTTTTAATTTCAGTAAAATTTAAAAGTAACTTATTATTATAAGACACTTTTAACTACTTCACTTAAACTAAAAAAAGTTAGTTAAATTATCTTAAAATATAAAATTTTTTAATTTTATCCCAATTTAAATGAAAAAATTCAAATGTACATTATATTTTTTAAATATAGATAATATTTAAAAAATATCTCATCAAATTTTTTATATATATTAACTACTAAAGAATCCTTTTTAAAAAGCGTGTAATAATGAGAACCTTCAGTGATCCCGAATAAGTGGAGATAAGTGCAAGAACCTTCTAATCAATCTCGCCATCTGAAAACCACTTCCTCGCCAAAATCCCAAACGCCTTGACACACATACAAACGCCTACACATGCAAATACCTACACTGATATTTAAATATAAGAGTTAGTGCAGAATTTGTTTTAATTCTAAATACAAGATCTCATCAATCTCCTTTTTTCAAACTATATATCTATATAGTTAGACTTTTTGTGCCATGTCTAAGTTATGCTGGTAATATTGTTTTAAATTATTAAAATAAGAGGTAAAGGTGCATTTGTTTAAATAATGATATATTTAAATTAAATAATATAGTATATGATGAAGAAAATAAAGGCCAGTCCCCAAAAGAGAAAATTACGTAAAGAATTATTACAACCTGCCCGTAATTATGACATCTACTAAACAAGATTTCAAAATTAGCATAGGCATTAAAATTAAACAATTACCAAATTTAAAAAAAATATAAGACAAAGGAGAAAAATATAACGATTAAAAAATAGGTCAAAAGGAAAAACCTGAACCTGAACTTAGGGGTGTTCAGTCTGAATCCGTCCCGATTGGCCCGATATCGTTTCGATCATATCGGGACGGGTCTTGTCCCGACCCGAAAATAATGGGATGAGACTTTACGGGATAGGACAGAAAAAGGGTTCGGGACGGGACGGGACATAGGATTACCATCGGGATGTCCCGTCCCATCTCGAATATTATATATATTTTTTTTATGTTAAATATATTAATTATATTAATATAATTTATACTTATATTAATTATATCAATTATAATTTTAATACTTTCAATTCTTATTTAAAGCTAAATTTTTTTTATATTGATAATTTCAATGGCATGGAGTAAATATGACGATATCTTTCTTTATAATATCTTAATAATATTAATATAAATTATTCTTATATCTATTGATTTAATAACTTTTATTTATAACATATTTTTTACTTTATTTTTAGAAGAGTAATTAGCTTAGTACATTTTTACTAAAATAAAAGAACAATGATTTGATGTTGTAGTTAACTTGCTTGTTGTTGCTAATCTTATAGTATAAAGATCACTTATATTTGTTATTATAATGTGCAGTTGTAATTAATATAATTCAATAATTAATTTAAAATTATTTTTATTTATGTACTTGTGTTGTTTTGATTTTAAACTTAATAAATTATATGATTTAAAATTTTAATAAACATTATTATCCAGATCTTTTTTTAATATTATTTTATTTATTGGGACGGTGGGACGTCCTGATCTTGTCCCGGTCCCATTTCGTTCCATAAACACCCCTATCTAAACTCAAACCAAGTTGACCTATTTGAATGAATCCGCATTCCTCGCATGCATTAAATGGATATGTTAAGCTACAGTCAAGCACCGTCCTGCCCTTCAATTGGAGCTTAAAAGGAAATTGCAATTGCAAAGTAATAATTGGGCTTAAACTTAAATTTCTTGCCCAATATCAGGCCCAGTTACGGCCCAACAAGCAAGGCCAGGTATCTGATGATATTCTTTGAAACTTAGTTCCAATGACTTCACGGTCATATAGGATATTATATTTTAACTCCAAAATAAATAATAAATCATTAAAAAGGTGAGGAAACCTGATGAAGTTACCACTAATATGTAAAATATTAATTTTGGCGCACTGTTGAATTTGTATTTCCACCATACTTCAGAGGATGATACGGAAATAACAGAGAAATTTCTGATTTCAATCTTTGTCACATAACCAATGTAAAAATGATACTTTCGTGTCAGTTGTAATTTTAAGCTAACATGGAAAATAAATTTTTATTAACAAAAGGTCCATCGACCACGTTTAATACACGTAAAAATTTAGACAAAATAAATAAATAAATTTGAAAAGCAGAAAAATCCTTCATTTTCTTCAAACTATCTTGAATCCCATGAGCTTTGCCTGATAAATTAATTAGATGTCAAAGTTAGGAAACATGGAAGCAGTATGGAAGCCTATGAATTATTTGATTATGTATGTTTTTCCCATTCCTGATGTCTATGTCTATAGCCATAATCATGGGACATGATGAGCTCTTTCCAACCTAGATCGTAGAGACAGAAAGATTCGTCCAACACGATCGAATTAATGGGATAAAGGGATTTGGAAGTTTTCGTATTGTATGATCATTAGAGCCATACACTCATGCATGCAGTGATTCAAGAAAATCCAATCCTCGTGGAAATAAGGAGTGCGTGGCTTTGGTTTTCTGGTCGGAAGTTGAGGGAAAAAAAGCTAACGTTGTAGACTTGTGGTGTTGTGTTATTCTTGTCTGGTGGTGGCACATATGCTCATTCTAATTTAAATAGACCCTTCTAATCACATTTCACACACAAATAAAAGTAGTTACTTCCTTACTTTCATTTTAAAAAAAAAAATATGTACTGTATCCATCCCTCCATATTATATATAAAGACTAAGATATCCCTAACACCATCTCATTAGAATTAATGAAAGACGATCAAGTCCTTGATTTTATTTTAAAATAGAATTATTTTAAAATAGAATGAACTTTTAATTTTACTCATATTTAAATAGGAATGTTTAAATTTGTATTATATTTTCTCTCATAATTAATGAGTTTAAATAAGGGTAATATTAAAAAAATAATTAATACTCTATCAAGTGTCTATATTAAGGATCCTCAATTTCTTTTAGAAAATGCTTTTATAATAAGAGTTGGGGAGTGTTTTTCCTTCTTTCCTTTAACCCTTTTACTGTGAAGAATGGGAAGAAGTGTTCAGTGAGATTTTATTTTTATTCCCACATTAATAAATACAAATATAAATTTAATAAGAAAAATAATTTTAAAAAGTACTAATAAGTGTTATATATTTTTAACCAAATTAGCTTGGATGGAAAAAATGTTTTACAATTTGGAACCGAGGGTATACATGAAAATGCCAATATACCCTGAAAACTAAAAGCTTAAAAAGATTCATTATTAATTTCCCAGATGGGAATTGAATAGTGATGTAAACCAACAAAGAAAGACATGAAAAGAGATGAGAAAATAGCTTTCTGCATATTGAAGATGAGGTGACCTTCCTCCACCTCTCTGTCTGCCAATCAAGTTTGGATTCTTGATGTGACCAGAAAACGACTCCGATTTTGAGTAAAATGTGCATTATATTGTTCAATTGATTTCAATAAACAGGCTCTTAATATGATCAACATAATTTTTTAAAATTTTTGTGTGAAAGATAAATCTATACCAACCTTTTTTATATTGATTGAACGGTTATATATAAAACTTATTCTTTTTTCGTCTTCTCCTTTTTTAAGATAATGCAATACACTCACAGCTTACATTTACTCCACCCGCCAATAATGTTTGAGAGAGACAGAGAGAAACTAATTATGAAAAATACGTTGCCTTGCATGTTATTAGCTGTCTGAAGAGCGAAAATGGGTGAATCTATGAAAAGTACAGGGGCCCTATTTTCATGCATCATGCATGGAGTAGAAATATCAAGTATATTTTCATATTTTAGTGGACGAAATATTATTTTAATTGAATCACAATTTATTTATATCTATATATTTAATATTTGTTTTTTTTTGTTAAATCGGACTAGGAAACTGATATGTGAAGTTTAACTGGATTTAATTTAATGTAAAGAGAAGTAATAATAAAGTCCCACAATAGAAAAATTGAGTTAAAAAAAAGGTGTATATGTAAGTGAAGAAAGGTATAAACTCAATATCTATTAAGATTTGGTATACTGTAAATAAACCTCATTTATATACATCGTTTTGTAATATTTCAAAGGTTAGGTGGATCTTTTCCCTTTCTGGAAGCTATCATTTGTCAACAGCTGGTTTCTATAGTTTAAATTTATCATTATAACTATCTTTGCATGTCATATAGAACCCGTAATAAGAGTTGAGAATATTAATCAAGTTCATTGAATTACCCCATCTAATCTAAACCTTTTTTTTTGTTTTGCTTGAATTTTAAAAATTACAAGTACTTTGTCTAAAAAAACTTCCAAGCCTAACTCGTTTAAATCATAGAAAAAGGACTCAGGTTTGAGCTCATGCTCATGCTCAAGTTCCCCATTTAAACTCATATTTATTTTAAGCATACAAATAAATTATTTTTCAATTTTTGAATTAAATTTACACTTTATAATATTTGTTTGTACTTTAAAGTTCTGAATTATATTGCTTATTTAAAATTTCAAAACATTATAATTTATATTTTAGATAATAAATATGTAATATCATGATGTTAAATTTAATTTTTAAACATTTTTAAAAGAAAAAATTGAGGCCCTATCCATTTTTTTAAGCTTTAATGATATGCTGCAAGCCTTTTTCATATTTGAATCTGGTGAGTAACCAGAATAACTATTTGATTTACCCAAATAATTGTAAGAAATTTTATCACATAATATTTAAAAAGTATCAAATTTCAAAAAATTTGAAAGGACACACATGAGTGAAAAGTGCTTTAATCATGAAGCTTTTTTTAAATTTTTAAAGAAAAGTGTATCTTAATAATTTTTAAATATTAAAAAATTCAATAGCTATAATTAAAATACTCATTGAGTCAATGAATTTAAACTATTCATTAGATTCAAATTTGAATTTTTTTTCTATTTGCGTTTGATTGGTTGAAAATTCTTTCTACAGGAAGAAAAGAAAAAAAATATAAAAGAAAGAAAGACAGAAGAATCGAACTATGTGACCAATTTAGTTGGTCAAGAATGTTTGGACTATATGTTGATAAGAGAATTAAAAGGTCCAAAAATAACGTAAATTATTACTGGTCAATAGTGAAAGGAAATTTATTATTAATTAATTAAAGTGGGGATGAATCGGTACCCTTCGAAGAAGATGCTTGGGTTGGCACCTTCGTGGCTTTCACCAATCAACTTCGACCCTTTTGCCCAAATAAAGTCTTATTGGTTGGAATTGACTCTTCAGTCGTTTTTGCAAATTATTGCACTCACGAAACTTCTCACCACACATACACAACAAAGCTAATCCGTATCTTTCCATTTTTATTAAAATTAAAATATAATTCCCCAAAATTACGTTATTCTGCATGTATTCTGAGAAAAATTATAAATAAATCGCACTATATTAGGAAATTTCAAAAGATTTAAACAATATGGCATATTATTATTAGTTCCATATTTTATACTCACGACTATATGTTGTCATTATCATTATCTTTGAGTTTTTTTTTTGTATGTAAAAACTATATATTCGATTAAAAAAAATATGGCTACTGTTAAAAGGAGCAGAGATAAATATAATCTATCTCAAATTATTCTGGATCATTCACGAGGGTGATTGCGGGACCTGGCAGACAAATGAAGGTAGTCTATTTTCTGCTTAGCTATGGAGATGATGACGAAACTTAAATATTGTCACGTATTTTAATTTTTCTTTATTATTTATTCTTTTTTCTTAATTCTTGAAACTTTTTATATTCTTTCTTCTTTAACTTATTTCATCTGTACCTCATTTCCATGTCTTGAAAGCATAACAATTAGCATATTCGATCTAATAATAATTTAATCAAATCTTGTTGACGTCTAAAAGAAAACACTTTTAAAGTATTATTAACTTGATTATCTCTTTTCTAACAAATCACGAACAGCTTAATTTCTGTATTTTATTTATTTGGTGTCAATAATTTATTATTCACTTTGCGCCTAGTCTTGAACAAAGATGTCAAAAATAAGATGAATTTCGGCCATGTTTTCGTAATTTATTTTAATTAATAATGATGTGTCTGCAAGCAAGGTGAAAAATCATACATGGAAACAAGGGATACAGCGTACTTACTGTCAAGACCTTATCTGAGAGCTGTTGGAGAACGTAGCTTTCATATCTGTCCCTCCACACAAACTGAACCAAATAAATAAAGGTCCAAAGTTTTTCACTAATTAACAAAGTTGCACGACTCACTTTGATCCAAACAATATTAAGGATGGAAACTTCATCACACGGTACAACATCCCCACGCTAGTCCCTTCACTTTCTTCATTTTTGATATAGATTATTTAAATTTTGTGAGTTATTTCAAACATAATTAGTTGGTCAAAATCGATCTAATTAATTAATATTGTAGCAAACTATGTACATGGTATTTGATAGTATTATTGACTAATAATTCCGAAATGTAACAAACAATTTAATATTTAATATGGTTGATGAGGCGGAATTGAAGTTAGTTCGGGTTGGTTTCAAACCAATGACAAGCTGTGCATCATTGTGTTTGAAGAACGTGCAAAGGAAAGGATCTAAGTGATCTGATCTGATGGAAAACTAATCAATCTAAGAATAGTACGTAGTTGGTATGCCCACATGACCCACCCTTCGGTTTGCCTTTGGAGTCAACAATCTCCCATCTCCACCCCTTTCTTTTCCCCTCCTTAATTTCTACAGCATCCTACACTTTCTTACCCCTAACCAAAAAAAAAAAAAAAGATACATCACATTCATTAATTACTATAAGCTAAAAAGTAAAACACAAATTAAATTTGATATAGTTGATTGAATTTTAATTCTTGTTTCATACCAAAAAGTTTCCTCTCTAATTTGAGAAAATATAATTTTTACTCTTTAAAAATGCTTTTTATATTAATTTAGTCTTTGAATTTTGATCCAAAACAACACAATTTTTATAATTTTGTAATTCAAAACAATTCAATTCTTATAGTTTTTGGAGTTAGCACAACAATCATTTCCTATAACTCTTTACCTCAATACATTGTTACTAAAATTCAAGGAGTGAATAATCAATTACTAAGTGAAAGTTTCTGCACTAAAAGTTATATTATCCATAGTATTTATCAAAGTTATTGCACAACTAATGAAGTCAATCATATTTCAAAGTAGTAGTTCGAGCGAAGTATTATGGATTATGATTATATTGATTATCATACAATAGCTTAAACCGGGACAAGCACTTATAAATATTTATTCTCTTAAAAAAAATAAATGTAGAGGCACATTAGGTTTGTGAATTTATGGTGCGTAACTATCTCTAGCGGCCTTTTCTACTTTTGTTTCCACAATCATATCATCCCTCTTGCACTCACATCAACTTTCTCACCCCCTTACGTAAATTCACATCAAAGCAACCATAAAATTTTCTCTGCTCACAAACACAGACACAACACGCACACACAACCTTCCACACCATCATCAATCTTCTTCACCGCCAAATTCAATTCTCTCTCTGAGATACACAAGCATGTCAATCTCTCATCTCTTGCCTTTCTTCTTCCTTCTCCTCGCGTTCTCAACCTTCACGTCCCCGTCATCTTCCGCAACCGACTCCTTCATCTTCGGCGGCTGCTCGCTGCTGAAGTTCTTGCCGGGGACGGCCTACGAGAGCAACGTGAACTCCGTTCTAACCTCTCTTGTGAACTCAGCCATGTTCTCCAACTACAACAACTCCACCGTCCAGGGCTCCACCATGCAGGACACCGTCTACGGCCTCTTCCAGTGCCGCGGCGACCTCGCCAACAGCGATTGCTCTCGTTGTGTTTCCCGGGCTGTCAATCAACTTGGCACCTTCTGCCTTGATGCTTGCGGCGGCGCGTTGCAGCTGGACGGCTGCTTCGTCAAGTATGATAACGCAACATTCCTGGGCGTGGAGGACAAGACTATGGTGCTGAAGAAATGTGGGCCGTCGATGGGATTGACTTATGATTCGTTGACTCCGAGAGATGCTGTGTTGGCGAATTTGGGAGCGTTGGATGGGGCCTTCAGGATTGCGAGCTCCGGGGATGTACAGGGTATTGCGCAGTGCGTAGGGGATTTGAGTGCGAGCGAGTGTCAGGATTGTCTCTCCGATGCGATCCAACGGCTGAGAACGGAGTGTGGGGGCGGCGCGTGGGGAGAGATGTACCTGGCCAAATGTTACGCGCGATACTCAGAACGTGGGCGTCACTCGCCAGGCGGAAATGGTATGCAACGTTACAAATTCGCACTGGAGATTATTAAACTAAATTATATATATTTTTGTTTGGGAAAGTGCATGAATATTTTTAGAATTGGAACATATAATGCGAATATATAATATAAATATAAATATATCTAAAAATACGTAACAAGAATATTTTTCTATTGAATATATAAATTATAAGTTTTATAAAAACTTTTATTTTAATTTGATTTCACGAGCATAAAAATTTTCAAGCTCATTTTTAATTAAAATGAAAAATTATTATTTCTGTATTAATAAAATAACGTTGAAAATTCACTGTCATAAGGGGGTAACGTTTCAAAATGTTCGTGCCGGAGAATTAAATTAATTTTACCTTTTCCTACCCCTTTGATATTATTAATTGATAATTGATATTCTTTTCTGACAGTAAAGATAGATGTGAAATGAATATTCTTAGCTTACAAAAAAAGTTGTGATGTGAATACAAAGGGAATAACATAAAAAGAAACAATAACATATATATTGGAAAGTTTAAGAAAAAAGAAGCATAATTTGATCACCTCCAGATATGTATTTTTTGTTTAACAAAGAAATTAAAGAACTGATGGAATTGAAATAATCTAGAAACATTTTATGGTGTCAAAGTACAGTGACTTTAAATTCTTTTTGCTAGGCAAGAAATCAAACCAGATCCATATACCACATGCACAATATTTCATCAAAGAGGCAAAGAAGGTCCCACTTTGAATTAGTGTCTAATAATCTATGAGTTGATGAAGAATCCTATGCATGCAAAGAAACCACCTATAACAGGAAAAAAAAAAAAAAACTATCACCTCTATAATTGTTTGTCCTAATCCCTAGAAGGCGCATCAAAAGAATGAAAAGCCACTTTCTAGTGTTTAATTTTGATACCCTATACATGTGTCCCGTGAGCTTGTAAGGTAATTAACTTTCCATTAAAAAAATATAAAATATTTTTAATTAAATTATACTTTTAATAAAATAATTATTTATTTTTAAATTAATCCTACCTTTTCATATGTATTTTATTTATCAAAATATTTTATTTTAAAATAAATATCAATTAATTTATTTAATAAGTGTATTTAAAAAAAGATAATGATTACACTTTAAAAAATTAAAAATATTTTATATTTTTTAACGTTTAATCCCTCAAAAAAATATATTTAACAGAGGAAATAATCTTTTTGTGAAAAAAAGGTCTTAATTATTCTACCTTTCTTTAGTTTTACTGTTAATTTCAGAATATGTAGATGAACGGGTTTTATAAACTGAAATTCAGCTAGCCAGATTATTTTTCATAACTATAATTTTGCATTCGGATGAAAATGTCAATAATTATATATGAAATTAACCTTTTCATATATATATATATATAGATATATAATGAATTTGAGTGATGCAGATGATAGCAACAAAAATGATGAAGAGATCGAGAAGACATTGGCAATTCTAATTGGACTCATTGCTGGGGTGGGTCTAATCATCCTCTTCATCTCCTTCTTCTCCAAAGTGTGTGGGAAGCAAAAAGGTAAGTTTATTGAATTTTAGATCCAATAAGTGGCGTAAATTCAATCACTTGATAAGTATTTTAATTATAATTATTAGATTTTACTAATACTTCAAAATTATTGAGATAAATTTTTTCTTCAAAAATTTTAAACAAAACTCATACTCGAATACACGTGGTACTTTATCCTTATAAAAATGTGAGATTTTGATCTTTTTGAATATTAAAGACAAAATATCTAATAATCATTTAATTAAATCGACAGTTATTATTGTGTCACACATGAAACGCTCATTAAATAAATAGATTTGTGCTGAGTTAAATTAATATTTTGATTATATGCAGGTGGCAAATGAAAAAAAGATAGAGAGAGCTAGATGTGGGGGATACAACTACTCCAGCTTCTTCACCCTTAGTTCTCAAAGTACCACTTTTTGTTTTTGGTAATATTATTTGGTATTGCTTTTGTGATATTCAAAATCCATGCACATTTTTGTTTGAAAATGTTTTAATGAATTAATTGTAAGTTTCCTGCACAGTTCCTTGTAGCTTTATAAAGAGTATATAACCGTGAAGGCATATATTGATTGAGACGGTGAGGGAAAAAGGTCGTGGAGAGAGAAAAGGGGGGAGAGAGGGAGAGAGCTGATCAATGATTCGTCTTTCTTCACAGCCACATATATTTGAAGCCGGATAAGTTCAAATCAAAGAAGAATTTTTCGGGTTCACTTTTTTTGATTCATCATTTTTTTCATAATTAATTCAATTTTTTTATATATTCTATATATTTTATTTTTATTCGTATTTAATTTTTATTGTTATTTTAATTTTAAATTTTTGTAATTTCTTATTAATATTATTAATTAATTAATAAATTTATTATCCCATTATTATTATCATTATCTTTTATTTTTTTATTAATAAAAAATTTAAAAAAAAAACGAAGCTAGCTGTCTTGATGTGTACACACATAGTGACTTATTACTCACAATGTGTGTGTACGTATAAGGATTCATCTTGAATGTTCACCACTCTTAATAAAATATAAATTATCCAGATTTATTATTTTAAATTTATATATTATTTTTTATTATTAAAATAAAAAAATTATAAAAATTATATAAAAGTTTTTATATATCAGCTTATTACCAACTGGAACAGTAGTATAGATTTAATTTAAGGATTTAAATTTAATATTAAAATTTTTTATAAATTAACTATTCATATTTACTTCAAATAGTCTAGATTTAAAATTTTTAACTTATATTTTTTACAAAAAATTAAAATTTTCAATTAAAAAATTATCTTTATTTTTAATATTTTATTTAAATTTTTTTAAAAAAATTAAATTTAAATATAGATTATTCAGGATATATCTTGATAGTCAATTTATAAAAATTATAAATTTTTTAAAAAATTATAAAAACTATATCCAAGGTATATCTAGACCGTTAAATTAAATTTATACTATCTAAATTTGTGATAAACATATTTGTTAAAAATTTATAAATTTATATTTATTAAATATAAATAAAATATAAAAATATTAAATATTAACTACCCAGATTAAAAATGGGGATATAGTTCATGTCTCAAGGACCGGACCAATATAGGGACCCATATATATAGCCTTTCATGGTATTATTCCATCATTTTCCCGTACTTTTTTGTTAATATTAAAAGTATTATTTACTTTTTCTTATTCAGATTAATATAATTAGGATTATCTCCTGAATTATTACATACACACGTTCATCGGTATTATTCTCTCACCCCCTCCTCCCTTTACAAAATAGGGATCAATTTTACAAAAATTAATTTGATCAAATCATTAGTCTTATGTGCTTTAAAAATTAAAGCAACTCAATATAAAACTCTCACAGTTTCTGCACAAAAAAATTCCAAAAGTTAAAAATCCTTTAATTTATTTACAATTTAATGATAGTGATGAAACAAAAAAAAGTACACTTTACAGAAAGAATGATACAATGGAATATAGTGAAACATGGAAATCCATATCATATAATTATACAATTTCACAGTTTTTCCCCTTTATCTTCATCAACAAGCTCCCTATGCAACCATTTTCTAATTTTAATTTGTAGATGGAAACTGAAACTTTCATTAATAACCAAGAAATACAATAGAAAAAAAATAAAAAAAATAAAAGGAGATTGACCTAATTAAGCTATCATCATAATTCAATTTTGTGATGAGATAAATAATAATGGGAAGTCAGAAAAGGATGGTCCCTTCCTCAATTATTTAATAAATGGTTGACTAAAATGTCATCCATCTCATGTTAATGTGAAAAGTTTAAGGTTTTGTTGGTCGAAGAAAAGACAGCTTTTATGTCAAAATCACGAAAAATTTGCAATGATTAAGGAGGCATATTAAAATGGACCCCAAAAAAGGAATTGTATATTTAAAAAAAACACCACCTTTCATATGTATGCTTGATCTGTTCAAATTAAAGAGACTGCTTAGACTAATCCTATAATAAATTTGTTAAGGTATTTGATACATTGTTTCACAATCATTTTTAGAAAGAAATAAAGACGAGGGTTTAAGGTTCAAAATAATTATGTCAAATAGAAACTAAGTACTATATTCATGCATATGAAAAGTCTGTTCAAGCAACATGATAAAGTTTTCTGATAAAAGCAGACGAAATGTATTATATTTTTCTCTTTTAAAAAAACATATAATAAAATAATTGACTTATATGATTAGTAGAATGTTTGTCAATGAATTTAATTTATAATATAATTCTCTTTTAAAAAATTTGACGGCCATATGCATATCAACCGATAAAAACATTAGAAATTCCAAATCAACGATCATTATCGAGAAAGAATGAAATGGACAGAGAAAGTACCGGAACAAATAGTGATAAAGTAATTAGCCAATGAAGAAAGAAATAGTGTTTTGGTTTCATCACGTGATCTCACACTTTCAAAAAGTTTAAAAAGGTTCTTGGCGAGAACACAACACTTAGCTCCGTGTTTGTTTTTGCAAATATGCATGGCCCTATTTGAAAAAGCAAAGATTCTTCTACATCACAGCCTATCTTTCTTTATGTTGCGGCTTATGTGTAAAGATCAATATGGTGGAATTATATAAACACCTAGTGACCAAAATTGTTCTTATCTTTAGCTTCTTCTGGACGTTGGCCACACAAAGGAAAACAATTTAAAAAAAAACTATAAAAGTCCTCAATATATGATCTCATTTACTTATTAAAAAGGAATGAAATTAAATTGATTGAGAATATAAAAGTAAAAATAAAATAATTAAAGGATATACATGAGTACATTTATAAGAGAGGGATAATTTAGTCTATGAAGTTGAAAATTATGATTTATGAGATTTTTGAAGAATGTGATAATTCCTTCATTTACAGTATATATTAATAAATTTTATTATACTTGTCATAAGAAAAAGGATAATTTAATTTAATTTTTTTTATTTTTTAATTCTTTTAATAATCAAAAGGGACTGTGATCCCAAAAGAGGATGAGAGAAGTCTGCCAAAACAATGAAGAAGGGAAAAGGATTTGAGTTAGGCATAACTTCACTTTTTTTAAATAATTTTTATCCAAATTTATATACACATGTAAAATCGTCAATCGCTATATTTTGCTATGTGGACTTTATATCTTTTTTAATTAATAAAATATTAACAAAAATCTGTTTAGGTGTTAAAGGTTTTGAAGACTTGTCAAGATCAGATGTTTCTCGATTTAAATAATTTTTTTTTGGTTTTTCATCGGATATCCTAGAGAGTGTGGACATCCTGAGCTCTTTGCCAGCCCACCTCATTCCAAACTAATTCGAATTCTTGCATAGGTTGGGCCCTTCTTCGAGAGGTTTTTGCAGATACCACTAATATTCGATATCCTAAAGAGTGTGAATATCTTGAATTCTTTGTTAGCCCATTTCATTCTAGACTAATCTGAATTCTTGCATAGGTTGGGCTTTTCTTCAAAGGATTTTTACAGTTACTACTGGTGAGACATACTTTGTATGTTTAGTTATGCGACTGTGCATCCCAAAAGTAAAAAATGAGATCCCAAATTAACATGTCTAAACTCTTGATCACTTAGACAAGCGCTCATTGGTTCATAGTTTAAATATTCTTTATATAAGTATTTACAGATTATTATTAGACAGTAGATAGATTTGAATTTAGTCCATTAGGAATATGGGACGACTTTTTTATGATTAGACGAAGGTTTTTGTATTTCATGCCCATTTTTTAAATATAGTGGCCTATATCCTGAAAATAGTAGCCCAATCAGACCAGCCCATAGTAACTCATATTGGGCCTTGAGCAACACATCATGTCAAGTGCTTAGCTGGACTACTCATCCGGCCCATAGATATGTCTTAAAGAAATAGTCAAGAGCTAGTCCAAATAATTTTACACCGTACGATAATGTCTCATGGACAACTGAGGATGAAGATTGTATAGTAATATTTACAATAACGTAGACGACTGTGGCCCAAGAACCCTTCCTATTAACGCCTTCCGTCTTCCGAATCCGAGCCATTACCCTTACTTCCAAAATTCAAGCTCTATAGGTTCGCATCGGAAGAGGGAGCTCAACAATGGCGCTTGAATGGGTTGTACTAGGGTACGCCGCGGGTGCTGAGGCTATCATGGTCCTCCTCCTCACGATCCCTGGCCTCGACGGCCTCCGCAAGGGTCTCATCGCTGTGACTCGTAATCTTCTCAAGCCTTTCCTCTCTGTGGTTCCCTTTTGCCTCTTTTTGCTCATGGACATCTACTGGAAGTACGAGACTCGTCCCACCTGCGAGGCCGACACGTGTTCCCCCTCCGAGCACCTTCGCCACCAGAAGTCCATCATGAAGAGCCAGCGCAATGCTCTCCTTATCGCTGCTGCCTTGATGTTCTACTGGCTTCTGTACTCCGTCACCAATCTCGTTGTCAGGATTGAGCAATTGAACCAGCGGATTGAGCGTTTGAAGAATAGGGATTGACTCCGCTGATCGGTGGGTTGTCTGGTTAAGATAAGTATCTTACTTTTTGTTGGAATGATTTCTATTTGTGCTGTTGTATTAGGAGAACATTTTTTCATTTTCTGATTTTGTACCACTTATTTTGAGATTGAAGAAGAAATAAAAAAGAATAGAGACTTACTGTTATTTTGTTTGATCGGAGGAGTCTGTGGAAGGGAGTTTTTCTCACCATATTGAATGTGGTTTTTAACATGTGTGTACCCTTTTGTTCACTCTTGTTTCTGAAACCATTTCTTGTCTCGGATCTTCTAACATCTATAAAAGGAAAGTGATGGTGTGAGTAGTGAATGTGTATCTCATCAATGGCTTAACACTAATTATCCAATTGTCTTGTTCGTTTTAACCCTAGAGACAATGGTACATTGTTGTTTAATTTAGCAAGTAGGCGTTGAAGTTACCAGATTTTCTGCCCTGCCCCTGGCTTTGCCTTCCATGTCTATATGATACAACCAACAGTAAACGAAGACTATTTCTTTATTGTCCCAAACTTGGTTCGTTTGGATGGGTGACAATGGCTGTATCGGAATGGATAACTTCTCCTAGCTTGGAATTGTTTTAAAATGAAGGAGGGTAATGGAAAAGTATCGCAACTCCTTCCTCATACATATTTAAGTGTTTATCTAACATTTGAGTGTAGAGATTAATCCAAAAGGAATGGAGACTTGTTAGTGTTGCTTTGTTAGATGCAAAAATGGTTTTGGACGGGACTTTTTTGTGTTTTGCTTTCTTTGCACATTCCTGTTTCTGAAATCATTTCTGGTCTTGACTATAGCTGTCAAATTGTGATACATATGAAACTAAAGTTGAATGATGAGCTTCTGAATTGTGAATCACATCAATTTGCAAAATTTAACGATAATCAAATATAGCTTAAATATATGATTTAAAATATTATATCAATATAATATAAAAAAAGGCTCCCAAGAAAATCCATAAATATAATAAACATGGTAGAGGTGCATTTTTATTATACACACTACGCGATTGAAAAATCATTTGACACTCTAATATAATTAAATTGTTTATGCTTCTGCATTTTGTAATGAAATTGTTTATGTGCATTTTCATACAAAACTGAGCGATTGATGCAGCCATTTATAAGAGACTAGGATAAAATACTAACACAGTTGGATAAGTCACATAGAACCTGTTGACTTTGGCCTGGATAATTTAGAAAACTGTTGATTTAATAATTTTAATTGTGGAATTAGTTGTTTTTATGAACCTGTTCATACATAATTAAGCAGTTGCTGTAGCCATTTAGAGGTTCCTATTGATTTTGTAAAGCATCTTGGTGTCATTCTGTAGATGAACAAGTTCTATCTTTGTCCATGAAGGGTAAGGGACATGATCATCTTTCCGTCGGCCAGGAGGATGTTTATCTGGCATTGCATGGCAGAGCATCCATAGAACATGAAAGAATAAATCAAGAAGGCTATATAGAGGATATTCATATAACTCTTTTTTCCCCCCCATAACACAGTGGCTAGCTAAATTTACAAAGTATGCTTCCTGTTCTTGGGTTTGTCTTCCTTGTCTATATAATAGAGTGTGCAAGAAAACGAGATTTCTTTATTCTAGTTCTTCTGTTAGTCATTAGTTGCTAACAATAGAATTATTATAGCTCAAAGTAGTTCATGTTTACCAACGATGGTTGAGTGGAACGTAAAGGACTTAATGCACCTTAAGTGAGATCAGTCATTCAAATATTGTGAATGAAAAAAAAAAAAAAATTCACATTGAAAGAGCTACTTTTATTTGGACTCAATTTTTAAATTTGGGTTAGTTGTAGTAGTGCTAAGTGGCTGTATCGAGGGAGAAAAAGTAGTTTAGGTTTCAGATATTAGGATTGGAATGTCTCAACTAATACTGTTGTCGATCTTCAAGTCTTTCTTTCCATCAGGCATTCCTGGGAGTGCAGTTTAATTATGATTTTTGGGGATTGTGTGGTGTAGCTCTCCAGCAGATGAATTAGCTATACATATGCCATGCATCAATTCCATAGAATTGTTGCTGAAATTGCCTTCAATTATTGAAGATGAGAATGGATTGTGCTCGATTTTCAACTGGATATGGTTTGATAGGTTGTTTTTTCTCATTGATTCTAATTCATTGCATTGTCCTGTTACTACTTACTAGGCTTGAATTAACGTAGGTGTCTAGCTCCTGTCATCCCTTTTCCTCTTGTGCGTTATTCCTTTGAATTATCTTGCTATTGCTATGGTCCAACTTTAGTTAGTTTTCGTGGAGGCGCGCATTTATTAAACCCATTGTCCTGCTATGTCATATTTTATTGCCAATACAGAGAAATCCCTCGTTAAGACACTCAAAAACCCCTATTGCATTCAACTTAATTATAAACCCTCATCAAATGTTAACACTGCCCATACATTTTTACTGCTTTGTTGTATAACTTGTTTATAAAACGCATTCCCGATTCACCCATTAAGATTTTTGCCCGAGTTCTGATTGTTTATAACTTGTTTATTTTATGATGTTGATTGTTTAGAAATGATAGAGGACATGTCTTCTGATATACAACTCTCTGTTCATCAGATCTCGCCCCTGCTATGTTGTTATTTGCTGCTCACTACATAAAATTAATCATCTTGGTGCATACATTGAATGCAGTTTCCATGTTTTCAAACCTAGCCTTCTAGAAAGAGCACATTAGTTTCTTTCGATAAGGATATCATTAACGTTCAAAAAGTTTTCAACCCCCTTTAGGAGGAAGAAGACATGATGATGTTTGCTATACTATATTTGATTTTAGGATTTCAAGTTTCAACACTTTATTGATGTTTTCTAATAATAAGGAGAACATCCTATACGTTGCAAGGGTTTATGGAAATGATTCTAGTTTCATACCGAGAGGGAGATATATTCCTTGTTTGTCTAAATAATATTGCCCAAGTTCAACACGAAAACAAAAATAATACAAGTTTTTTCAAACACAAGAACTTGACAAAATTAGAATATATTTACCTTTATCAATAAAAGTTAATTTAGTTGGTAAGGATTTTGTTTATAACCCAGAAGATTGTGGGATCAAGTCCTGCTATTGATGTGAGAATTTTGTTGATGAGTGATCTGTAAATATTTTTACAAGTGTTTTTTGAGCTTAAAAGCTTGCCCTGATTTTGGTCAATTCTTTGAACTTAACTTACCTAATTTTTTTGTCATTAAAAAAGAGATAATATATTTACACTTTGGTTTTAACAAGATAACTTATCCATGAACGTACAATTAAATTGATGTATGAAATTGTTTAGTTCACAATTATCCATTGAAGTTTTGCGCAAACATAATATATATGACTGTAAGAAATTACAATTTATTTCTTCCATAATAAAATGTTCCCTTGGCATCATTCTCCTGTTGATTCAGAAGTACAGCGGCGGCTAAAGGGTTCTTCCCAATGTAATACTCTATGTTTTTGGATGCATATTTTGCAAGAAAGTCAGCGCATTGAATTCCTTTCTCATATATATATATATATATATATATATTGAACTAATCTGATAAGTTCACCGAACACATGAATGGCAATATTAGCTCATTTGATTGATGGAAGAGAGTACTTGGAGTAAGTTACCTTAGGATATCCTGCAAATATCCCATGCAAACTGAGTCCTCTTTTGATAGCTTAAAGTTCAACATGCAAAAATTAACACCAACAAAACCTGAGAAACCAACAATACATTTGAGTCTTGAATGCCAGCCCTTTTTTGAATTGATATTGAAACTTCCATCCACATTGATTTTGACTTTTGAATGCACCAAGTATCATCGCTTCCCACTTCACTACTAGAAAACGTCGGTGTAGATTGTTGAATTGGACAATAAATCACTCCATTTACTATTATAGCATTTGAGAATTGAGATCAAAGCCATCTACGAAAAAAAAAATATCTATAAATGAGAACACATGATACTAATAAAGCAAATCTATTCCATAATTTTTTTTTAAAAAAACAAGTATAGAAACAAAATATAGTATTTTCAATTCTCTCATTTACATGGCACTGGAATTGGAATCTAGTTTCACTCATAAAATTTCTTTTAGGCACTATACATGGGATTTACTGTTAATCAAGCTTTGGCTATTAAAAGGTATGCTAGTCTAATGTGCATATGGACTAATTAAATCTCTTATGCTGTGCTTGGCTCGCAAAAGAGAATAAGGAGAGAAAATGAGAGAAGAAAAAATGAAAAAAAGAAAAAAGTAAAAAAATGTAATTTTTTTTTATTATGTTTGGTTGAACGTGAGAAAACAAGGAGAGAAAAGTTTTTAATTTTATATTATTTATAAAAATATTTATATAATAAAATTTAATATTTTCATATGTTATATATATAATAATTTTTATCATATATTATTGACAGAACAAAAGTATAATTAAAAATTATTTTATCCAATATTAACAAAACATATTTTATTCAATTTGAAATTATTTATTAAATTATTAAATATATTATAATTTAATAAATATAAGGTATTTAATTGAAAATTAACCTGAAATTTTAAAATTAGCATTTGTCTAATTAGTCTAAAAATTAAATATATTTCCATTTTAACAAAAGTTCATAATTAAAATGTAATCACACTGTAAATATTATGATAAAAATAGAGGAAAGCAAGAGTCGACAATAAAACAATTAGCAGGTAAATTTAAAAATAAAATTTTCTCTTCAAAATCTCCCTATATTTAGAGAGAAAAGTTGGAGGTAAAAATATATGAGTCTCACATATTATTTTCCTCACTTTTTTCTTCCCTTCATTTTTCTCTCCTTAACCAAGCAAGGAAAAATGCTGTTTGCTCTTCACTTTTTCCCCCCACTTTTCTCCCCCCCTCACTTTTCTCCCTTGCCAAGCAAAGCATTAGAGTAGTTGCACAAGTAATTACACTCGTTGCATTGTAATGGTTGGATATAATTCAACTATTTGGTCAAAAAAAAAAAAAAAACAGATGGAATTCAACTACAAGCAGAGTTTTTGTGTGTGTGTGTGTGTGGCCATTTCTATCTTTTCTATCTAAATATATGAACGTATAAATGTATAATTCACCTGCGCGAAAAAATCTGTATTCCTCTTTACTTTCATTCAAAACAATTCTTATTTGTTT